CTGGTAAAAGTAAAGAATTTAAAATTAAAAAAAACCTTCAATTTATCAACAAACTCTAGCGATTATTTGTTATAGATGCTATTGTTAGGTATGAATATTTTACTTATTATTACATAAATTTAAAGAAAATTAATATTTTAATCCTATAATTTTTAACGAATTTATAATTTAGTTTCACAAGTTTTGAATCGGTTATTACTCGGTGCCTCAACTTTTAATTTTTTTATGTTATTATCTATAAATCATCTTATGAGGTAAAGATTTGTGTCCAACTTACATGACATTGCTCTCTCCTCTCTCCTAAAAATCCTATGCCAGTTCACCTCCTCTTCTGATGCTCCCCAACTTGGCGTCAGCTTTCCCTTCAGCTTTGGCCCCGTTTGGGTGACACCCCAAACCATGGTTTGGGTGATAAGTCACCCAAACACCTACTGGTTTTGGGCAAACCGTGGTTTTGGGTCAAAACCATGGTTTTGACTCCAAAACTATGGTTTTGGAAAAAGCAGAAATTTTTTGCTTTTGGAGAAAAAAGGGAGAGTGTAAGAACCTATATGATATGTATCTTGTTATTTTTTTATAAACATATTTTTTATAAACATATTTTTTATAAACATATTTAATCTTATATTTTATAAATATATATACATATTAATTATATTATCTTATGTATTATTAATTATGTTGGTAAAAAATATATTATTAACAATTTTATTCCTTCAAATTAAAATATATCATAAAATCTATTTTTTCTGTAATTATCATATCAACTTATGTCTTTTTTTTAGTAATTTGTATATATAAAAAGTGCTTCTGATAACAACTATCCAAACACTCTCATTTCTCAGAATCACTTTTTTACAAAATCTATTCTTCACAGAATCTATTCTCCAGAATCACTTTTCCAAACTACGGTTTGGTTTCATCCAAACACACCCTTGTAGGGCGCGGTGACTCCGTTATTGATATGATAAGAAAATAATGCCCAAACTTTTAAAATGAAGGTGGTTTGGCCTTTATAAGTTTTAAAATCTCACTGAAGAATAGCATTTATTTTCATTTACAAATACTTTGGAATATATGTGAGAAATAAGGTGACATACAAGATTAGGTTAGCAAACAGAGGCAGGACATCTGAATGATGGAATTTTCTTTACAGAGAAAACAAGAAAAATATGTAGAAAGCCCAGACCGAAGATAAGAATTTAATAAAATAAAAAATATTTTCTATATATATTTATGATATGTTCTGAATAGTTGGAAAAAATAATATGTTTTAAATAAATTCTTTATTGATTTCATACATAAATATTAAAATAAAAATATCAACAAGTCAACACATAATTAATACAATTTATTAAACAAAGTGAATATCACATGTGTTAATAGTAGGCATTAAAAAAAAAAAGGAGATATGTTCATCTTCTCACTTAGTAAAAAAAATTCCTAAATACTTTTAAATGCAAGTTCATGATTATAACAATCAGGATATCTTTTAAAATAAGAAATATTTTCTATATATATATGATATGTTCTAAATAAATTTATGGACAAATTAATCTCTTAGTTCTTCAACTATTAAGGGAGTGTTTGGATAAAACCAAACTATGATTTGGAGAATAACTTTTGAGGAAAAAAAAGGTTATTTTTTAGAATAGATTTTGTGAAAAAGTGATTCTGATAAAGTGAGAGTATTTGAATAGTTGTGGTCAGAAGCACTTTTTATATATAGAAATTACTAAAAAAGACATAAGTTTATATGATAATTACATAAAAGATATATTTTATAATATATGTTTATTTGAAGTAATAAATTTGTTAATACTATATATTTTGCCAACATAATAAATAATATATAAATAATATAAATAATAAATAATTAATGTGTATATGTATTGATAAAATAATTAAATATGTTTTTAGAAAAAAGATTTTCAAAAATAACGACTACGACGGAATGGGAGAACAACCGAAGCTTGTGATAATTGTCATGAGTGTTTTTGTCAAATATACCGTTGGTAGCTTCTGACAAGAATAATTATTACTCCAACAACTAATATTTCACTTCCAAAAGCAAAAAATTCTAGCTTTTTTACAAACCAAGATTTCAGTAGGAAAACCTTGGTTTTGACTCAAACCAAGGTTTTGGGAGGGAAAAAAAGTGTTTGGATGTCAGTTGGCCCAAACCATGGTTTGACACTTAAAATCACTTTTCTCCAGATCGCCAAACACCCTCTACCACCATTATAATTTAAAATTTTAACTATAACTCAGTAACTTGATCCCTCAATGTTTCATTCGCCTATAACTGACTAGCTTTTTTATCCAGACACGACAAACAGTAAAAATATTTACTCAGATGCTATAAGATTAAAAATATTTACTCAGATACTACACTTGAAATTGTTCAGATAGTGAACGAGTTTAAATTTTTACAGAAGTTGTTCAGGCCAAAAACGACTTCAATGGGACCCACATGCAAAATATGAAAGTTGTTCTTGGTCTGAACAACTTCAGTGGGACCCACATCACAAAATGGAAGTTGTTTTTGGTCTGAACAACTTCAGTGGGACCCACTATTTGTCTTACACTCCATGCGTTTTCAGCTTTCATATTTTGACCATACTATTTCTGCCTTTAATTTGCGTGTAGCTTTCATATTTTGACCAGACTATTTCTGCCTTTTCCAGCCACACGCAAAGTGTTTCTTCCTTCCCCAAATATTCCCATCAATATAGAGTAGTCATTCAATGTCTCTCACGTGTGAATACTTTGTTTTTGCATGTGAGTGTATAGTATGAATTCTATTTATATAAGGTATTCGCCATTCCCACTCATCAGAAGGCTTCTCTTCACTTCTCACATTCTTCTTTCTCTATGTGTAAGGCATTCCGTGAAGTAGGTAAATACGTTTTATCTCAACTTCAATTCTTCATACAATTCAATTCTTCTTTCTCTATATATAAGGCATTTCGCGTGAAGAATTGAATTTTATCTGCAGGTCCTTCAGTTCTTCTTTCTCTTTCCACAATTTCACGTGAAGTTGGTGGTGTGTGTGGCCTTGCAAATATTGCATACGTTTTATCTCAACTTGAGGCTTAATTTTTCTTCTGATTAAGGTACATTCTCTTGATTAATTTTTTTTTTAAAATTTTGATATGTATTTTGCTAAATGATGGATAAGAATTTTATATTTAGTCATTTTTACATGTTGAGTTTGTTTTAATTAAAAAAATGTAGACATATAATTAATTGTCATATAAAATAAATTACAGTTTACTTTTTTATAATCTGATTAAATATATATCTTTTTTTTAGTAGATAGTGTTTGAGTAAATATGTAGTCAGATTAAATATGTATTTAGTTAGATAATATTTGGTTGTGAGCATGGTAATCAAACTTCTCCTATGCCAGTCAATACGTCATGAAAAATACTTGAATATTTAAAGAAAAATTGATGGAATAATATTCCCCACTCATAAAATTTTAATATACAATGATAAAATTATTTTTGTTAAAATTACGTAAATTTATATCAAAGCATGCGTAGAAGACAGTTAAATTATTTAACTATAAAAACCTTTAAAATATTGAAAATCCAAATCAGTGGTCCAAGTTATAATTTTTATTAAATTTATAATTATTTTATTATTTGATTATGCATAGTGACTTCATGTATGAATTTCATAAATTCGAGTTTACATACCTGTCACGAGTTTACTTAAACTCGTGAGTTTGACAACCCTGGTTGTGAGCTTAGTCTAGTCTTGTATCTAGCCAATGAAAGCTAGCACTAAATGGTGTCAAAATTTTCTAATAAAAAGAGTACTGATGGTGGGGTTAATAATAATGAAAGAAAGGAGTTTTTTTTTTTTGGAAAAATTAGAGAGGAGGACCTAGAGAAAGCAATATTTATTAAAGAGGATCTTAAAAATTATAATTATTTAGGCAGACCAAATAATAAACTATAAATTTAAAAAAATCACTCAACAGTAATAGCTAATTGTTTCGTCATATTAAGTAATTATAATTTTTAAATAACTAGTGTGAAATAGTTATTAACATTTATTTTTGTTTTCAATCATAAGGATTTTTTTTGGGGTCACTTAAACGGTACCTAATATAAAATTACACAAGTACATTTATTATAAGCTTATTATTATTTAATGTAAATTTACCTTTATGTGTTAACTAAAGTATATATCTCATCAAAAGCATTTATTCGCAATATAGAAATTAGAGGTTGAAAGGAATATAATTATTCTTTAATAATATAGATAAATTAAAATTGAACATTTGAAGTATGAAGTTGGGACCAGGAGAAAAATGAAGCAGAGGCAATTTTTTTGAATAAGAAATATTTTCAAATCAATTTATTTAATCAAATATTTATCTAATTTAGTCATTAAAAATATCCAATAATGGAACATAAGTTAGAAAAAAATTTAGGAATGTAGTTGTGGGAGAATTTAATGTTTTTAAATATATTTAATCCTTCTAAATATTTATAGTTTTTAAGATCCTTTTTGATAATAAAACAGAAGTAATGATTTTAGCTAATTTTTTAATAATATTTAATTATAATTTTTTTTGAATAAAATGGAATGAATAGAAAATTATTTATTTAATATATTTGAAATATGTAATTTATATTATTAATTTTATATTGATATATTAGAATTTATAATAAAATTTTAATATGTAACGTTTATTTTTAATTGAAATTAATTTTTAAGTTATTCTAAATATTTTTTATGATTGATGTTCCACAGTCGTTGTTGATTAAAAGATATTACAGGTTACTATCTTACTTAAAAATGTAAATAAGTTTCTTAATAAATAGCCTAATTTTTGTAACTATAAATAAATGATTATTCTACTACTTTATTTTAAAAAATATATACATAATTGAATTAAAAAATAATGATATTATGGAGTTAATTTAGTTTTACAATTCATTTTTGTTTAATTAATAATTATACTGTATTATTTAGGAAGCAGAATGGATCATAGAAAAGAGTTTGTGTGTATATTTGCAAATGGACGAATTTTTAATGGCCCGGTCGGTGCAACATTTGAGTGTGATAGAGCGAAAGTAGTGAAAGTTGATCCAAATATTACATTGGATAGATTGAAGGAAGTTATTGGACGAAAACTACAACTTCCTCCCAATGAAATTGTGACAAATCTAGTGTACAGATATCCTACGTGCATAAATCCACCACAATACCAAGCATGCAATCTAGAAGATGATTCGGATGTACAACAAATGTGGCAAGTGAACCGTCGATTCTCAACTCAGTTAACATGTGCAGAGTTGTATGCCAATATAGGTGACTTGGAAGATGTTGGTCATATTGAATCACAACTAATGGACAAAAATGCTGGAAATACTCTTCCATCAAGTAGCAATCAGCTGAACATTATAGAAGAAGAATCCATGTTTAGCGATCAGATGGAAAATCTTCACCCATTTGAACTTCCCCAAGATGGTATCAACAATGGGTCATCTTGCTCTGTTCCTCAAATGGAAGATACTATGGATGAATTTGAGGACGAAGATCAATATGATTCTTATTTAAATATTGGTGATGGGAATGATCATGATGACAATGATGAGCATGACGAGATCAACCAGGATAATGAGCTAGCATCTGCTTTCTTCTCGCATATTAATGTTGAGTCAGCTATGGCTCCTGAGTTCAGTGAATTAGAAGAAATTCCACCTTTCAGTCAAAATGAAGAGTTACATATCGGAAAGATGTTTAGCAATGTTCGTGTTTTGAGACGTGCGGTCAAGTTATACTCTGTTCGAGTTCATCACACATTCAAGGTCTATTATTCATGTAACAAGTATGAAGAATATCGATGCATTAACTATGGTGAAAGCTGCAATTGGAGAGTAAGAGCTTGTAAGAAGGAAAACAGAAACTTTTGGCAAATTACAAAATATGGGGGGCCCCACACATGCTTAAGCACATCACTAACTCAAGACCATCCAAAGTTAGATGCTGATGTTATATCATCTTGTATCATAGCAATGGTAACTGATAAGCCAAATGTGAAAGTATCTCAAATTATAGAGAGGATGCAATCCATGTTTGGTTATATAGTGTCATATAAGAAGGCTTGGAATGCAAAACAATTAGCCATTGCCGTTGCTTTCGGGAATTGGGAGATCTCATATTCCTTACTCCCAAGGTGGTTGGCCGCAGTACAACACTTCATGCCTGGATCATACGTACAATTTTCAAATAAACAGTGCTCTCAAGTCAATGCGAATGGGGAACCAGTTGAAATGTTTCGTGTGTTTTGGGCATTCAAGCCATGCATTGATGCCTTTCCACATTTGAAGCCCATTATACAAGTTGATGGAACATTTTTATATGGAAAGTATAAGGGCACGTTACTAATGGCTATATCACAAGATGGTGACAGAAATGTTGTGCCGCTTGCATTTGCGGTAGTTGAAGGGGAGACAAGATCAGCTTGGACATGGTTCTTATACCATGTGCGTCATTGTATTGTAAAAGATAGAATAGAAATTTGTTTAATTTCAGACAGACATCGTTCAATTTTGGCTGCAGTTTCTGATCCTCAACATGGATGGCAGCCACCACATGCACATCATGTTTTTTGTCTACGTCATGTGGCCTCTAATCTTCACAAAGCACATGGAACAAATTGGCTAAAAGAGAAATTTATAAATATTGGTGAGATTTCTTGTGTTTTTTAATGATACAATAACTTTATAATTTTATGATTATTTTTAACAAGTTAATAATTACTTGTAGGGTATGCGTATGAATGTCATGTTGTTGACCAACAATTAGCAGAGATAGTATTGCAACATGCATCTGCTGCTAGATGGATTGGAGCCATCCCCAAAGAAAAATGGTCACGTGCATATGACGTTGAAGGTCGACGTTATGGACACATGACAACTAACCTTGCAGAGTGCATGAATGGTGTATTCAAAGGTGTTGAAGTCTACCCATAACTGGTTTAGTTAAAGCGACCATGTATAGAGTTAACAACTATTTTGTAAAGCGTGTCCAACAAGTTCATGCGCAAATTGCAGCTGGTCAAGTGTTTTTTGAGACACTAACAAAGAAGTTAGACATAGTAACACAAGGTGCATCTGGATGTGTTGTTCGAGAGTTTGATAGAATATCAACATCATTTGAGGTTATGGAGCCATACAATATTCAACTTCGTCAATTTCGTCGTTGTTGCAAGGTTAACTTGATTGATAGAAAATGTGATTGTGGAGAATTTCAAGCAGAAAAGTTTCCATGTATGCATGCTGTTGCAGCTTGCTCACAAGTAGGCATTAACCATTTGCAATATGTTGATCTGTTTTTAGGTTAGAAACCATGCAAATGGCTTACAGTAACAACTTTCATCCAATAGGAGATGAGACTTACTGGCCGCAAATTGATTGCCCTACTCTAATACCTGATCCATCAATGATTAGAGATAAAGGCCGTCCTCGTTCAAGTCGCATACGTAATGAGATGGATTGGACCACACCCAACCCACCCAACAAATGTGGATTATGTAGACAAATTGGTCATAATCGCTCTACTTGTCCTCAAAGTGTGGCATCCAGACAATAAATTATGTATTTTGCTTATGTAAAAAGAAAATTATACATATGAAGATGAAATGTAAATGGTTTTTGTAATTTTTTATATTATGTGAATATTTATTTGTTATGTTGTGTTTAGATATTTGAAAATGGCACAATATCCAGAAGAAGTCATTAACCCTGGTCCAGAGGATAACTCACTTCTGTACTTACAAACTCAACATATTTCGCAACAAGTTTGGAATGAAAATGTAAGTAATCTCTCTTAACTACTACTTATTAATTCTATGCTTTAATACTAACTTTTTTTAAAAATTTTCTCTATAGGTTTCTCGAATCCTACACACTAGACGAGTCATGCATGCTAATCGAATGATTGAGCCACCCAATCAGATACTTGAATATCTTAGATTAGCTGGATTTTATGGTGTTGCGAGGGTAGGGCAATTTGATTACGACCGGAGTTTGGTCTCAGCCCTTGTTGAGAGGTGGCGTCCTGAGACTCACACATTTCATACTACACGTGGAGAGTGCACGATAACATTAGAAGATGTTGTTATACAGTTAGGCCTTCCTTGTGTAGGAATGCCTGTCATTGGGAAAACTGACTTTAATTGGCAAGATGTTTGTGAATGGCTTCTAGGGGTTAGACCACCTGCAGATAGAATACTTGGACAACGACTACTTATGAATTGGTTGGAAGAGCACTTTAATCACTTACCTGATGATGCAGACGATGTACAAGTTCAACAATTCACTCGTGCATATATTCTCAGGTTGATTGGAGGATATCTCATGCCAAATAGATCGTGTACTAGGGTGTATTTGATGTACCTTCCACTACTTTATAATCTAGAAGAAGTTGGAAATTTTAGTGGGGTTTCAGCAGTTTTAGCTCACCTGTATAGAGAATTATGTAATGCTACTAATCCAACTGAAGATGGGATTGGAGGGTGCTTATCATTATTACATTTATGGGCATGGGATCGTTTTCCTACGCTAGCATCACAACAACCTGTATCTCCAGATCCACAGTCTAATATCTACCCTCTCTTACCTCCTTTGGGTTTCAGGTATGCCAAAATCACACAACAAATATTTCATATGTACTTATTATTGAAATTTTACAAATTTTAACACTACTTTTTTGGGTTGTTGATAATGCTAGATGGAAAAATGTAGGACAAAATCCTCGTCCAAGTGTCACATCCTTACGCCAATATAGGAGTCTTCTTGATAGAATGACCGATGATGACATAATTTGGCAGCCATATGAATCTTCTGAAGTGCGCCAATTGATTCCAGAATACTGCTTGGCAACACCTGAAATTTGGCTTGCTTCAGTTCCTCTAATATGTTTTCATATTATAGAATGGCATCACCCTGATCGTGTACTAAGGCAATTCGGTCGTCAACAACCTATTCCTGTCATGCCTGTTCATTTAGGAAATTACCATACAATACAACTACGTGGCAGAATAAGCACAAATTGGACTGAAGAATACTCAAACTTCATTGAAGCATGGAATAGATGGCCACATGATGTTGTTGATGCTCCTCTGGCACTTGGTGAACTTGATCGAACATCTGAGTACATGCAATGGTATTGGAGACATACAAGACGATGGATCCAACGTGCTAGTGGTGATACTGGCTATGTGGTAAGGTTTTTTTTTAGTTTTTTCTATCAATATCATCATTTTCTTTTATATGAAATTTTTTTCAAACCTAATGTTTTATTTATTTCAGGCTGACATAGCAGAACAGTTATATAGGCTAACAATTAATTCTCGTTCAACATGCTCTGATTGCATTGATTATCGAGAAAGAGTTGCTCGAGACCAGCGTAACATCTTACTTGCAGTTAGAGAACAACGGTTTAATATGAATTCTCAACCAGCTCCACCACCAGTTGAGCTATCCCGTCCACAAATTCCTCGAGATAGACCAAGCAAACGGCGAGGCGGTTACTTGTCTACTCAGCCACCAATTGTAAATGAAAATTTAAGTGAACAAGAGCCTCAAAATTTTAGTCATTTTGATAACATACCAGTCTCATCAAGCCCTATCACCTCTTCCAATCCAACTCATTTTTACCCTCATCACATGCCATCATCATCAACATTATCCCATTCTGACTCACCCAATCCTCCTCAATTTCAGTTATTCATGTCCTTATTTGATGATCCTGCATTATTTATCGATCAATATAACACTTCTTCTTTTGAGCAAGGTGGTCCATCAAATGAAGCATTTGTCACCCCTCGACAATCAATTTCTTTAGCCGAATCACCTTGGTTTGATTTAAATACGTCAACTACGCAGACAAATGAGACATTAGATCAAACTCAAGAAGTAAATATACAACAACGGCCACAGCGTGCGCGGAGGAGACCAAGATGTGGCACGGGGAGTCATTATTTGTGAGGTAAATTAATTCTTATTTTTGTTCATGTCAATTTAATTGTTATTTGTTCTTAATTTTATAACATTTAATCATTACTTATTTTCTTTAATCACTTTTTAATTAATATAATATTAATTATTACTATTATCATTATATAATTATTAACTCATTATTCTAATGATATGACCATTATTAACATCCCTGTAGGAATATTTATGTGGTGAGAGATTGTGAAGAAGTTGTTAGATGCTGGTGAAATTTAAAAGTTGTTCACACCAAGATGAATTTCAGCTAGACGGAAGACAAGGTTTATTGGAGGAATTGCTCTTATAGAGATGAATTTTAAACGTTGTTCAAGCCAAGATGAAGTTCAGCTGCATGGGAACCAATGTTTATTGAAGAAATTGCTCTTATTAAGATGAACTTTTAAAGTTGTTTAAGCTAAGAACAACTTTGAGTGTAGTATTTGGGGAAATAATTCCCACTATGTAGTATTTGAAGAATTTTTTTCCCTTGTTTGCAGCGTTTTGCTAAAAATTCCCTAAGTAACACAAAGCTGAGTTTGATTGCAAAACCCAAAACATGCAAAACAAAAGCCCCTTTCACTCTGTTAAGTGAGGAGAAGGCTTATGATGAGTGGGAATACATTATTAGCTTTCGACTAGAAACTAAGGATCAAATAAAATGTGAATCTGACGGATTTTTTTCTAAAAATTCTTGGAGGAGATTATCATATTTCTACAATTCAATTAGATGTGAAATCTAGAAATTTCCTCAATATACTATTTATTTTTAATAAATCTATATTAATATCTAATAATTATTAATTAAATAGAATTAATTAAATATAAATAATATTAAATAAATTATAATATTCTATTTATAATTTTAGAATTTTAGTTATAATTTTGGAATAATTAAATAAAAAGAATGCCGAATGCCTTATATAAGTAGAATTCATACTATACACTCACATGCAAAAATAAAGTACTCACGCATGAGAGACAAGGAATGACTACTCTATATTGATGGGAATATTTGGGGAAGGAAGGAACACTTTGCGTGGGGCTGGAAAAGGCAGAAATAGTCTGGTCAAAATATGAAAGCTGAAAACGCATGGAGTGTAAGACAAATAGTAGGTCCCATTGAAGTTGTTCAGACCAAGAACAACTTCCATTTTGTGATGTGGGTCCCACTGAAGTTGTTCAGACCAAGAAAAACTTTCATATTTTGGATGTGGGTCCCACTGAAGTCGTTTTTTGCCTGAACAACTTCTGTACAAATTTAAACTCATTCACTGTTTGAACAATTTCAAATGTAGTATCTGAGTAAATATTTTTGATCTTATAGCATCTGAGTAAATATTTTTACTGTTTGTCGTGTCTGGATAAAAAAGCCATAACTGACTCTTTAGCTTTCAGTTCTTGTATTGCTCTCGGAACGTGTTTCTGCAAAGGTGGTCGCATCACTGGTTTTCTATGGTCATGATACCATCTTTCCAACTCCGGAGTCTCGCTCTTGTTGCTGGATCATCATTCTTCGGGGTTCTCAGGGCCTATATGATCGTTTGAGATGGTTTGCCAGTGACCTTCGTGCATCCTCTGCTCGTGTTTGCCTCCTACCTTGGCGTATTATGGTCCGAGTTATATGCTATCCCAAGCTCTTCTCAGTCTCTTTCTAGTATTTTTATTTTCCTCCTTCGTTTTAGTTTTGAGGTGGGCTCCCATGCTTTTACGAGATTTTGCTATATAAAGGGGTCCATAAGTTTGTGTCCGTTTACTTAGTTTTAATAAATTATCTTTTTATTTAAAAAAGGTCTTTTGTTATTTCAAGTAGATTTATAATTAAATAATATTAACTGTTAATATTTTAAAAATAAAACACATAATCATATGTGATTGGAGAATTTGACATAATAAATATAAACAACTTGATATATGTAATCCATCATCAATTTCATATTATTAATTATGTCAAATCCGATGAGTAGGTAATGCTCATTCCCAAAGGGCAACATTTGGGGGATGGGCCATGTAACCTTTTTTTTAATAAAAAAGTATTTTTTAATTAATTTTTTATTTGACTTAAGTTGGTCTAATAGTTATTTTTTTAATAGTAATCAATATCCTAAATTACTTAATTTTTCTTCCTCCGCCGTCTTAAATTGTTTTTCAGTACTATTCAATATTATAAACTAATTTTTTATATATCCTATGCTCTCACACTGGGGGTGTTTAGAAGCACTCCAAAGTGCTTCTTAGAAGTATTTTTCCGTAAAATGAGACAATCTCCTCCACATATTTATTTTGTATACCGTAAAAGCATTTTTAAAATCATAATTTTGATTCTATCCAAACACCCTCTCAATCACATTTTTCAACCACACCAAATTTCCAAGGTTTGGGCTTCTATGACCGCAAATTCTCGCCGCTCCCCATCGGAATCTGTTGAATCCAGTGTCGAAGGCCGAGATTTTGTGTGCATAGGCAATCCTTCCGTCATAAACATATCTAACAGCGCAAAGAAGCTGATGCGTAATTGCAATTTGTTTTTTTTGGGACTCCGATGTGCAATTGCAATAAAGTTAAAATATTAGATTTAAAAGAAACGGTTACTAGCCGTTAGTCATTTAGGATAGAGTTTCTGTTGTATTTCTGTCAAGTTAGTTAGAATAGAATGATAGGTAGGCCTATGGTATTATAAATAGACTACAAGGATATCCTATTGTACGTTATTGATTACTGGTCCTAATTATAAGAGCCAGTTGATTAATTTGAAGAGATTAAGAAAGTAAGTTGGGTTAGTTATTTGTCCTAAATAGGTACTCTTCCGGTCCTTATTATAAGACCCAATTTGACTTTTTATTTGGTCCTAATTATAAGACCCAATCCATTTTCTCTCTTATATTTATGTATTTTTTTTAAGATAATCCTTTTAATAATGATAGTTTTAGCTAATATACTTAATTAGCAAGGATATTTTAGGAATGACAACACTTATTTATTATAAATAACCAACTTAACTTACTTCCTTAATCTCCTCAAATAAGTCAATTGGGTCTTATAATTAGGACCGGAGGATTATTGTTTTTTTTTAAATATCCTTACTAATTAAGTGTATTGACTAAAACTATCATTGTTAGAAGGGTTATTTTGGGAAAAAATGTATAAATTGAGAGACAAAGTGGATGAGGGTCTTATATTTAGGACTAAAATAAAAGTCAAACATGGTCTTATATTAAGGACCAGAAATAGTACCTTATAAGGAAGTGCATTATTCAGTCTTCTCTCTGTTTTCCTCTGTTCCCCCTCTTGTTCTTCTACTCTCCCTAATCTGTCATGTTCTTCTTTGTTCTTTCTGATTCCCTTTCTCTAATTTCTACCTTCTCTTCTTCCCAAACCTTCCCATTTTATTCTCTTTTCTTACGCGAATACGTCAGAAGCTTGGTTAAGCCCCCTCGTTGTAGTTGGTTTGGGACTGAAATGTAAATTTTGTAATTTGGTGTTACAGATGGTAAAATGGGAACCGCGAGTGATTGCCATCTATTCTGAACTATTTGAACTTGTTTATATAGGAATCTGTTATTATTTTAAAAAAAAGTGCTGTTTATTTCATATATGCTTTTGTTTTCCCCTTAAATCTCCAACAGATTGCTGATAAATTTGATGATTTTTCTGGTGTGAGGCAAATGAAGAAGCAATCAAGTATGGTGGGAGCGTGATGAGGATGCATGCTGTAAAGTAAATCTACCTCGACTCACTGTTATTACGGCAAAAAATTCTTATTTATTTAATCGACCTTTTGTATCCATGTACTGCATTTGCCTGTGTTGTTTGTATTAATCTACTTTTACTATATCTTTCTACGCAAGAGCTGATTACAATGTGCATAAATGAATAAATTTCTTTATCCTTCTTATTTATCTTTTCTTAATCATGAGGTTCCAGTGTCCTAAGGATCTGCTATTTACTAAGAATTAAATAATGCTATCAAAATAAAAAAGAGAGAGATCCGTCTTAGTGAATAGGGATGGGAAAGGATTTTTGTTCCTGTCCCGTCCCGTCTTTCCCCCCCTTTTTTTAAAAAAAATTATAATTTTTTGTATGAATTTTTTTATATTCTAATGCTTATTTCTTATTGGGTTTAAAAAGATAAAAACATTATAAAAAAATATTATGTAACAGCTTAATTATAAAAATGTAAAAACAATACTGTAAAAAAAATACCGTAAAAGAAACACTATATAATGGCTTTATGAATTATTTCATTGAGGAAGGAGATTTTGTTGAGATAACATTACAACTTAAGAGCTAAAAATACTATAAAAATAATAATTATTGTTAATAAGTAAATTGAATAATCAAATAATAATTATTAATAAATATTTTTTTAAAAATACCCCAGGACGGGACGGAATGGGACGACTTTGTCTCGTACTTGTCCCGTCCCAAAATTTTTTCTGTCATATCCTATCTCGAACTCATCAGGATCAGGATGAGACGATTAAAACGGGAGAAATTGAATACCCCTATTTGTTAGTACAAAAATGCTACGGGAAAGATTGATAAATACCAAATAACATAACTTGTTAAGTGACTGTTTTGAACTGTTTTATGACAGAATGATGAGCAATCTTCATAAAAAATAGAGCCTACTTGGAGCACATAAGTTGAGAAGACATCAGAATCCCAGAAAGAACAAAATGATAAGCTTGCATGACCAAAAAGAGAGCAGCTCATCATAAGCTATATGCTGCAGAAATGAGCTAGATAACATAAGCTGAAATGGAGAATTTATGCAAGAGGATCTTCATGAAAGAGGATCTAAAAATATCCTTGAACCTGTTTTTGTAACATAGTGCCAACAGAATGTGGCAAGAGTCTTAAAATTGTCATCGTCTATTTTGATATAAGACAACTCTATGTTAAAAAAAAAATTAATAAAAGTGACTGATTTTTTTTCTCTGATTAATGATTATCATTATTCTTTACAGTTACTATCATTATATATTTGGCTAAAATCTAATGCTTCAAGCAAAGGATGTCACAATCAAGTGATGCCTACAATTAAAAAATAAATAGAATGTCTCAGTGTATACATGTTTTAGATAAAGAAACTAGTTTGATTCATGTTGAAGGCAAATTTGTAGTCATGGTAAAGACCTCTTGCAAAATTGGAATGTATATAACCAGTATAAATTGATTATAAAATGATTGACTATTTACTGCACTTTTATTATCTTTTTTTTTGGATAAAAAAACAATTTTATTAAAATCTAGATAAAACAATACATTAAAAAAGGTTCAACAAGTAACATACAATGGGGGGGCAGAAATGATTTCTTCTAAAATATTATCTAAACTTCGATCCACACAACTATTTTCTTTATTTCATTTTAATAACAAATGAATTTTCTTACAAATAGTTAGAATGAAATTAACAATGCATTTAGACCTTTGCGGCCAGTGAATGAAAACCCGTGTTGGAATTGTGTGTTGCGTCTATATACACAGAAACAAAAACAAAATCATGGCTAATTACTGGATCCAACATAAATTGATTCTTCGGCCAAAAAAAAAAAACATAAATTGATTCATTTTACCACTGTTATTAAATGGACGATCGAGATTGAGTGAGAAAATGGACGGATAAGATTGATTATTTGAAATGACGTCGTTTAGGGTAGTAGCAGCTTTCCTTCTGCTAACTCTTGGATGGGTTTGTGCACATCCCTTCGTCAATCGCAGCTGCCTCTGTGTATAACTTATGTACGTCTCGCCTGATGAGAATGCCCTTTGGGTTATTGTGCGTTTAGTTTTTGGATTTGTACAGGGGCGATTATTTCTTCTGAATCAGATTGCCAGTTCCTTAGACCAATGATAAATATTTTCTGAAAGTTGCTTTTAGAAAGCCTATGCATGATTCGACTCTCTCCAAAGCTCCCGAACCCCAACTCAAACTTCCTCTCTAAGAAGCACCAATGTCTCTCTCTACTGAACCTATGTGCTTCCACTAAACAACTCTCTCAAATTCAAGCTCAATTACAAGTTTCTGGTCTTTCCCAAGATCCTTTTTTGCTTAGAAAGCTCGTTTATTTTTATGCTTTGTCTTCCTTCAAAAACTTGAACTATGCACGAATACTTGTTTACTACTCTCCCAACCCACCACCCGTTGCCTGGAACATGCTCCTTAGGGGCTATGCCTCCAGCCATTCCCCTATTGAATCCATTTGGGTATTCCGTGAAATGCGGAATCGAGGAGTTACACGCACTAAGCTTACATTCCCGTTCCTCTTCAAGTCATGCGCTATGGTAGTAGCACTTGGAGAAGGAAGGCAAGTGCAGGCAGAAGTTGTCAAGTGTGGTTTGGATTCTGATGTTTACGTTCAAAATACTTTAATCAATTTCTATGCTTCTTGTAAGAAAATACTGGACGCTAAACAAGTATTTGATGAAATGTCTGAGAGAACTGTTGTTTCATGGAATTCAGTTATAGATGCTTGCGTTGAGAACCTTTGGTTCAAAGATGGAGTTGGGTATTTTGTGACAATGAGAGATTTTGGGTTTGAACCGGATGAAACCACCATGGTTGTCATGCTTTCTGCGTGTGCTGAGTTAGGAAACTTGAGCCTTGGGCGATGGGTACATTCCCAAGTAATAGTGAGAGGCATGGCGCTCAATTGTCAGTTAGGTACTGCTCTTGTTGACATGTATGCAAAGTCTGGAGCTGTAGGTTATGCTAAATTTGTATTCCATAGAATGGAAGAGAGAAATGTGTGGACATGGAGTGCAATGATTCTTGGACTAGCCCTACACGGGTTTGCCAAGGAAGCCCTTGCACTTTTCCCCAAAATAAATGACTATCCTACCATAACTCCAAATTATGTAACTTATCTTGGGGTTCTATGTGCTTGTAGTCATGCTGGGATGGTAAACGAAGGGTACCAATACTTCCGGGATATGGAACAAGTTCATGGGATCAAACCCATGATGATCCATTACGGAGCCATGGTTGATATCTTGTGTCGTGCTGGGTATCTCAAAGAAGCTTACGACTTCATACAGGGGATGCCTATTGTGCCAGATGCAATTGTATGGCGAACCTTGCTTAGTGCATGCACCATTCATGACGTTAATGACCATACTGGTATAGGGCATAAGGTGAGGAAGAGGTTGCTTCAGCTGGAGCCTAGGAGGGGAGGGAATTTTGTTATTGTTGCAAACATGTATGCTGAAATAGGGATGTGGGAGAACGCAGCAAATGCTAGGAAGGCTATGAAAGATAGGGGGCTAAAGAAGATGGCCGGAGAGAGTTGTATTGAGTTAGGTGGGTCCATGTATACTTTCTTCTCAGGATATGATTCTCGACCAGAATTGATGATTGTTTATCTCTTATTAGATGGATTGATTCTGCATTTAAAGATGGTTAATTATTTGTAGTAGCAATAACTTTTGATTAATACAACATTGTTGTTTATCTATTATATTTTTTATTGGAAATGGCCAACTTTTTTCCTTCTCTTCGATCCCTTGGCTAGTTTGCTTTGAAACTCCTGATCTGTTTCTGTTTTGAAATTAGTCTTCCACTTTAGCCGGCTCAAAAATGGCTCATATTTGGCTGTCACATTTCACTGTTGGAGAAACAATTATTGGACTTCATGTCACTCGGCTCTGGCATATGGCTTTGTAGTGAGACATCTCATCCACAAAGGCTGTCAAAGATGTTCCTTTTCTCATGTCATCCGTCACACGCCAGACAAAATGAGTGCAGAGATGAACTGTGGTGTTGCAACGGAATGGAGGGAGTTACATAATGCTTCAGACCTATAACTGCTCAAATTTGAAAATCAAAATCTACTCAGATCTCATGTCTCCCCTCACTGATGCACAAAAAGGTTTCATATCCTGTTAGTAACCAAGTTGAAGCATGCGGAAGGGTGACTTGGTGAAATATAGTCTTCATTTGTCTATATTTACAATGCTTTAATGAGGTCAGTTATTTTTTTGAATCATTTTTTTACGTATACTAAAGCTAAACAGAATAGAAAGTGCGAGCTCACATCTACACTGACTCTCCTGAGGCGTTTAACCTGTTGATGCGAGACAATGCAATAGATCACCCCTTGAGAAAAGTCCTAATTGACACAAGGGAACTCATGTATGCAGATTGGGAAGTTCTTTTCTTTCATCCAGGAAGAGAACACATTAAATGTGCAGATTTCATGGCAAGAGAGGGCCATACTTCTTTTGTAACAGAGTTAGTGCACAGTGTGCCGTCTAGGTGCTTGCCTGTTTTTGGATGACAAGCGTATGGCTTGCAACTAGAAAGCGAACTGGGCAATTTTTGCTGGTTGACTAGATACTAGATCTAGTCTGTTTTGTTTCTCAAGGCTCGTATTGCCCTTGTATGTTAGAAAAAGAATTGAAAGTGCCTGCTGGTTTCACATGGGTAAAGAAAGACATAGCACTTCTGTGTAGAGTAAAAATTCATGTTCATTTGAATGGTATAGAGGGAGGTCAATATTTGCACTTCTCTGAATCAAAGCTGTTTCCATTTGGAAACTGTGATCATTACAGGGCCAATATATTGCTTATGATGTCTGTATACCATAGATTTGATCAAATATTGTTTGCAACTGCTTTTGTGTAGTCGTACAAATTCCTTATGTTGTTTATTTGTATTATTTTCCATAACTGATGTAAATCTAAATTAAACGTTCTATCTCTTCCTTTAAGCCATCCGAAAGTGTAACTGTAAGATCTCTTCTAAAAATAAAAAAAGGGTTAAATAGCATTTTTGCCCTGGAAGTTTTTAAAAAGAAGCCGTGGGTATATGAAAGTTTTTTTGGATGCAAATTTGTCTTGCAAACACTAAGAACGTAGCAATTTTGCCCTGTCCCAACAGACCCAAACAGTCAATGCTAGTTGACCGAGTTAATAGAAAGACATTTTTGCCCTGGAAGTTTTTAAAAAAGATCTGAGTATCCACAAGTTCTTTTTTCTACAATTTTGCCCTAGAAGTAGTAAAAAATGTAGCAATTTCACCCTATCCTAAATTCTCACTTGACTCTTATATACCAATTTATAGGTTACTTGAATTAGTTTAAAAGAAAATGATAAATATGAGAAGCAAAATAGATTAAAATTTTATATTTAGGATCAAATCTAACTCTCAACTAACTCTTATATTAAGGATAAAGAGTATTCATCTATATTTTTATTAACTTTTCATCAATTATCATAGATATAACATTTTTCAATTCTATTTTTTTAATATAAAAACTAGACTTGTTTATTTTACATGTTGCATGGAGCTTTTGAAATGATCACTTAAGTAAATAATTTATTAAAAGAATAATGCTTATAAATTTTCTTATATTTTTGTTGATATATTATCTTATCCTAAGATGTCACATCATCATCACTCTGAAAAAAAAACAAAACAAAAGAAACCTCTTTTCCCTTTTATCATCATCATTGGTGTTCATGAAAACATGAACAACCAACAAAAATAACAATAAAGTCAGATTAACAATTGCCGAATTTGCAGATGAAAAAATTAGTCTGGAAAAAAAATAAAGCTTTCCCCCTTCATCATGATCAGCATATATGAACATTAAACCGAGAAAAAAAAAAGAAACAAATTAAATCAAACTAGAAATATCTTTAACTATTTGGTTGATAAAGGGTGCAAAAAATGATAAGAGAATATATCAACATAAAATATAAGAAAATTTGCAGGCAGTTCTTTTTTGATAAGTTATTATCTACTTGAGTGATGATTTCAAAAGCTCAATGCAATATGTTAAATAAACGTATGTCTAGTTTTTATATAATAAATACCATTGAAAAATGTTATATCTATGATAAAAAATAAACAAAAATATACATGAATAATTCTTATTCTTAATATAAGAGCTAGTTGAGAATTAGATTTGGTCTTAAATATGATATTTTAATCCACTTTGCTTTTTATATTTATTATTGTCTCTTAAACTAATTTAGGTAACCTATAAATTGATATATTATATAAAAGCCAAGTGAAATCTTAGAGTATGGTGAAATTGCTATGTTTTTTACTACATCCGAGGCAAAATTACACCTAAATAAATTCTGGATACCCATAGCTCTTTTCTGAAAACTTTCGGAGCAAAAATGCTTTTTTAACTGAGTCAACTAATGTTGACCATTTGGGTCTGTTAGAGCAGGGCAAAATTGCTACATTTTTAGTACTTCTATGGCAAAATTGTACTAAAAAAAACTTTCAATACCCATAACTTCTTTTCTGAAAATTCCCGGGACAAAAATGCTGTTTAACCCAATTAAAAAAAAAATCTTGTATTTTCGTTCCCCGGTATTCATTTATGTCTTTGACCGAAATGACCATTGCTGTTTCTATTATTTGATTCTATTTAAATTGTTCAATTTTAATTCTAGTAATCTCAATTAAATGGTCGAAATCTTTGGAAGATGCTTCAAACTGAAATTGTATTTTCTGCTGCGCAATTTCTACACTGGGTGATGGAAAATCCAGATTCAAAGATAACTATGGATCATGCAACTGTGCACGATTTTATCAAGATGTAATCATTGTATTTAATGTGATTTTAATTATAAGGTCCTCGAGCATTTTTTTTTAATCCCTCTCTCTATATGTCGTTTTTTGAATACAAAGGCACGAACAAGCTTGAAGATTAAAAAACAACAGGTTACAACCTGCAGAATCTGACGAAAAATAACTACGTGAAATAATGCAAGTCTACCAAAAGTAGGCCAACGCAGTAGTTTCGGGGAGTCTGGAAGATATTAAGCTCAGTGCTCACATCATGAGTTCTTCTGGCAAGACAGTTAGCACATTTTAACGCTTCTTTGTTTGAATGTATGATGTCAAAGTCCTAGTTTGAAAAAAATGAGGGATTTCACATCAATAATCTCGGTTCTTTACGCAAAATCAAATAATTATTTGTTCTTATTTCACGTGATTTAATTCAAGGGATTTCTATGAGTTTTAAAAATATCAATATATCAATATGCTGATTGGCAAAAAACAATCAATACAATAACAATGAGCCTTATTTCACAAAGTGATGTTGACTACATAAACTGAATGACACTATTGTGCTTTGTCAATAATTAAAACTTTGGATGTCAGCTTTGATTAAAATACAGCAAATAATTAAATTACATGCAGCTCAAAACGCTGACGCTATTTGTCCAAGCCAATTACTGTTCATTGAATAGTGAATGGACTGATAGTGTCCATTTTCTAAGTCAGTCTAATTTGTATAATACTCCTCCGATCCTAAATATAATACCTATTTTGTAGTGTAATTTACATTATAACTACAAAATAGGTCTTATATTTAGGACCGGACACTAGCAATATCATTTTGGCAAAATACAGAATTCTTACTCTGTAAATACTCCTTCCAGTCTCAATTATATTTTAAAAAACAAATGCTTCACAATATCTAAGAAAGTTTGCTATTCATCTTCATTATTTATGGAATTGAATTGTTTTTCTTAAAATGCCCCAACTGGCAGTGATCGTCGTTTTCTTGCAATAATTCCAACTACTCATCAAATTTTAATTGAAGGGCACAATTGAAAAATACGCATTACTCGGACTTTAAATTTAGCTTGTTTCACCTTATAATTAAGATCAAGAAAATATGGTAGTTTTTGTTGAGTGGTTTGATACAAAGCTCCAAAAAACAAATGAGAATCTAGAAATCTTCATCTTGGCTTGCCCATGGTTGTCTTCCCCAATGACATTATAAACCTCACAATGTGAAAGGTAAACTGGGTCAAACTTTAATTCCATGGAATTTGTTGCAATTCTTCACTCCATCCATTGGGCACTTTTTTAAGTTAACATTTTAAATATTTTTGTTCTAATAAGTACATAACATAAAAGGAGCATAATTTTTTCACTCTCATCTGAAGTTACACTAAGATGAGCGCAAAATTCATATCTGAGCTTCAACTCATTTGCCACCGGTATGTCAGGACCTACTTGACAATTTGTGCAAACACGTACATTTTTCAATCTTCTCATCTTCTAGTCTCCGTCCGTACTACATATATGAAAATTAATATTTATTACAAAGCCACAAGTTATAGCACTTCGTAACTACAATAATCATACATATTTAGTACCGAAGAAGCCACAATCTTCTTTACAGGTCAAAACAATGATATAGTTAATTGGGTTGCAAAGGATGAAGTTACTTGCAAGTGTCTGAGTCGGACTCACCATGAATGAGTTAGGTTTTAGCGCGTTTGCCGATGGGAAAGGACACCCTTTGTTGAGGATTTTGCTGCATATCTGTCTTGTCTTCCTGAGAGGGGTTGGGATCAGCAGCTTCTTCATCCTCAGTTTCCTCCATTGGTTGGGAAGGCCTTTTGTTTGGAATTGCCAGTTGGTAGTTAGGACTGATTAGTGTATCCTTATCAGGAGGGAGAGAAATGCCAGGACCTGCTATTGATTTCGGTAACGGTATCTTGTTACGGCTA